TAACATAATTTTGGTATAAAAAAGTCACACGTGCTAGTATGGTTAACAAAAACTTAGGTGGTGTTTGATAAAAATTAAAAATTAAGTGTTGAATCTGTTAAGTATTGAATTTTAAGTGCTTGAATAATTAAGTATTGAATATGTTACCGATAAGTCTGTTTGATATTTATTGAAAATTAAGTGTTGAATATAATAAAATTATTTGATAGGTATTGTTGTTGAATATATTAAGGGTTTATATATGACAATTTTAACCTTGCTAATGTGACATGATATTTTTTAATATAAATAAAAATACATAAATAAATGTGTTTGTTTTTATAAACATATAAAAATAATTATTAATTAAAAAATCCACCCTCGTATTTGTCTTCAAGATATTGCCCCGCATTTACAAGGCCAATACTATTGGCTAGTTCCATCCCATAGAAACCTTTTGCGAACATAGTCATTATAAACAAATGGATTATGAACGATCTTACAAGGGCAACGGTTGACTCTATGGAGTAGTATATGAGAGTTTCTTGAACCTAGACTTTCTTATTGTGGTTGATCTCTATTGATTATACAAGAGCATAATGCAAAAACACTTTGTGAGGCGTGATAATGCAACCTACAACTTCAACAACCTATTGCATTATTTTGGACTTAAGTTTGGGAATTAAGATGCTTGCAATAGAGAATCCAATTAAGTGTCTCTTAGATACAAGGTAGTATTGTAGTCAAATAAATAAAGAGAAACCGAGAGAAACAAAAACTTTTAAAATTGAAAATTTTAGTCAAGCAAGACATGACTCACCCGGAAAAAGTTCGGAGGTACTGGGTTTTCTTACTTAACTTTCTTCTAACTAGTAGCTTATTGATAATAATGGGATAGAAGCATCGAAGATTAAGAAGGTCTCTTCGTTTTGACAATGGGGATAATAGAGATCGTTTCTTAATCGGTTTGTATAACTAAGGTTATAAGAATAAATAAATGCTATATAGTTATGTTCAAAAAGTTTTAAAAATCTTTCAACTAAGCATGTTAATAAAAAAATTTTAAGTTAAAAACTTTAACTTACCTAATTAAATGGATTTTGACTGAATTATAATTTTAACTATAAGATTATTTAGATTTTTAAATAAAAGTTTTCTATTAATTACTACAACATAATTTTTTAAGAAACTTAAATAAGTTATAAAGCACACCCTTAGTCTATGTATTTTTTATCCAACATTAAAAGAACGTGCTAATATGATTAAAAATATAAAGTTTGTTTGTTTTTTTTTTTTTTTGTACAATAAGCCTATTTTTTACCCTCGATTAACCTCGAGTTGACTTTCTAAATTTTTGTATCTATACCTGGATTGGGGGTGAACACCATTTTATCTATATTCATTCCTTTAAGAAGAATTAGTGATGTTAGGCTAGAAATTTCTTTATTCCTAAACCAAATTAGTCTAAACTCGAAGAATTGGATTAAATTTGGTTAAGTTAGAATATGATAACTTATGTATCTTTAATTTTTTTTACTCTTTCTTTTCTTTTTTCTTTTTTTCCTTTTCTAACTCTTTTTTTTTTTTTGTATTGATTTTTTCTTCACTTTTTTTTATTCAAAACATACGAAAATAATAAAATTCATAAAAAAGAATTGATTTTTTTAAATTGAGATAAATTGATTAAAATGTTTGATTTTTGATATTTTTAGATTATTATTATTATTATTATTATTATTATTTAAAAAAAGAGTAAAAAGTAAGGGATCGAATTGGATTCCAAGCAACCAATTTGAGCATCCATATTGTAAGAGCAAAGTTATGCAATTGGGATTATATTTTGGAAGATATCAATTAAACACTCATGATCATTGCAAGTTGTTTACCGGAATCTGAAACTGAAAACTTGAGGAATAAGTTAGTTTTCCATGCAAGGAAAAATATGATCAATGTTAGCCAATATGCCTTTAGAACCACATATTTTGGGTAGCTCTACTCTTTGCAATGGGCTACATAGACCTATAAAGTTCTTAATAGCTATCGCATATTGAATCTCAAGCCTTGAAGTTTGTCCAGTTCTCATTTTTCCATTTTCCATAACAAATATATGGAAGATGAAAAGAATAAGTTGATGATCAAGAGACTCTTAGCTTTAAATTCTAGGTTAACCAGTCTATACTAAAAGCAATATGGATTAATCAGGTTTTTCTTTTAATTTAAGTGTTAATTGAATCTTTATATTGGATCAAATTGTTTAATGTGAGCTTTACGTTAATTAGCACCGTCGCTAATGACATTAAATAAATCGCATAGTCAACATGTCTATAGTTATTTTTTCTTTTTATTTTTTATTACATAGAATTTTTATTGAAATTAAAAGAAAATAAAAAAATCTAATTTCAATAAATGCTTTTTGTAATAAAAAAAATGGTGATGAATATATATATATATATATATATATATATATATATATATATATATATATAATACTAGTCTATTCTTTTTTGTAACATTGAAAAATATTTTCAAATACTTGAAATGTTGTTCAATGGAAGTTGAAAATATCAAAATATCATGTATGTAAACAATACAAAATTTTGAATATTATTGAAAAATGTCATTAATGATCTTTTGAAGTTCAGAAGGTGTATTTTTAAGATCAAAAGGCATGACTTTCTATTTATATCGCCCAAAAGGGACAATGAAAGAAGTTTTCTTCAAAATAGATTCGGCTGTTTATATATATATATAATTTCAAAAAAAAAATTTGTAATTAAAAATAGGAAAAAATTAATTAGGTCATCGAGATCAAAAACACACATATCGTTTGATTATGTAATTTACTTAATATTTATCAATGATGTTATTGACAGAAGGCACACATTAAATTGATTCTCTACAGAGATTCAATTAACATTTAAGTTGATAGAAAAATATTTTAAATAATCAATTAATTATAATATAAGTATTTTATGAATCGCTAATCCCTTAAATTCCCTGTCAAAATTACAAAAACTAATGCATATGTGCGTGTGTGTCACGGCATAGTCAAGTTGAGAATATTTGAATAAAAAATTTTCTTCCATGGTTCAACTTGAGTTTCAAATGGAAGCCTATTACCGCCACCACTACATGCAAATTGGTGGTGCCGGTGTGTACAAAAACTAAATAGAATACAAAACTGAGTGATCTTGCGTCCATCTCTCCTTTTCTCTGCTGCTAGCTAGTACCTTTCATTGCATGGAAATTAAAGATACGCATGTCCTTTCATTTTCTACAGTTGATTAACATCTTTGAAAAAGTGGCTCAAACTTATCTTCTAAAAACGATGCGTTCCTGAATCCTACGGAAGAGGTCACTCTTTGCAAGCTGGATTAGAAGACATGACTATGGAAAAGTTACAAAAAGTGCTCGTGACAAACTACTAGTGGACGCACCCTATCTCACATGGATCACGATAATCCTATTTGCCTGCTTTCACGCATACACAATGGAAAAGCTAAAACACTCATCCATACTAAGGCAGAGTATCCTCAATATTGTTCTTTGCAAGTTGCTATAGTACTTGCATCTGATTAGTTTTCCCTACTTGTGCTCCTTCTAAGGACCAGAGGCACATGTCTCACGTAACTAGCCAAATTGATTGCCATTTTGTCAGCTAGTAATCAGTGATCCACGTAACAAATCAAGTGTAATGATCTAAATTATGCCTTCATTGACTTTCTCACAGTGTTTTGTTCAGATAAGTACTAATTAATTGGATCATCTCCCTCTTTCCTCCTCTGTTAAAAGATCAGATTTTTAGGCTCGTTACATTTCACACGTAATTTTTTTTTTAAATATTTATTAAAAAATAATATAAATTATATATTTTGAGATATTATTGATAATTAATCGTTTCTAATTGAGATGCATGATATAAATTATAACGTGCAACTTCAATCAATAACTTAACTTTTTAAATTAAAATAATCTTTTGATATTATATTAAAGTTTTGCTTACTAATAATGACGAGTTTAAATCTTATTATTTCAAAATGATCACTAATTTGAATTCTAGAATTTTTTTTTTATTCGAATTCAAATGTTACCATTCAATAATCAAAAATTTGAATTTTATCATTCTTAAAATTAAATGATTAAATATAAGATATCTGTTGAAGTCTCCCTCAATAATTTAATTTTTTGATTGAAATAACCTTTTTAACAATATATTAAAGTTTTGTTTGCTAATAATCACGAGTTTAAATCTTATTATTCCAGAACAATCATAAATTTGAATCTTATTATTCTATTTTTTTATTTGAATTCAAATATTATCATCCAATAATCACAAATTTAATTTCTATTATTCTTAAAATTAAATAATTAAACACAAAATATCGATTGACGTGTCACTCAATAATTTAACATTTTCATTGATATGATATTTTCACAGAGTAAACATGCTCTTTTGGTTTTAGTCTTGTGCTGCACTCGTAGAACCCCCGGCATTAATAAGAAACCCATTGACTCTTCTTACCTTTAGCAAGGTTCAAGAATAATTACCTTAATTATAAAGAAAGATTTGCCCACTTAAAAGAAAAAGTTGCCAAGAAAAAGAGATGTAGAGAACAGAAAAAAAACAAGAGAATCGTCCATTTTTCCTCTTTTAACTTAATTTAACAAGGAGACTGTGTAGATAGTAATCATAATAATTACACCTAATTTCCAGGTCTCGTGGAAAATTACTTTGATTGTCTGCAATTGCACAAGATATGCCTCCAAAAGCACCTAATCAAAGTTACAAACTTCTAGTATTTCTTTTCGTTCGGCGTATACAGAGTTACATATTTCACTATCTACAAGTTAATGCCAGAATTGTCAGCATCAGTGGCGATTAAAGATACTGAAACAAAACCATCGATGCCATCCTACTAGGCATCTCCCTCGCCCGGATAATCAATGCTATATTCGTGACTGAGGCTTTCATTTCTGATCAATTACTACTAAAATCTTTGATTAATAGCTCTCAACTTGGGCTACCAACACTGATCAGTTTCCCAATTCCGGCCCCCGTAACCTGAAAACCCCATGGTGGTCAACGGCCGCTGTTTCCTTACAAATAGCTTGCTGTCGTAAACAGCTCGCTTTTCTGGGTCTGATAGAGTTGAATATGCAGCATGTAACTTCATAAACTGGTCAGCAGACGAGTCTTTCTGATCACCGGCAGCGACATCAGGGTGGCAAGTCCTGACCAATCTCCGGTAAGCAGTCTTGATCTCCTGGTTTGATGCCCCTACCGGAATCTTTAGAATCTCATACAAAGAGGATGCCATGCCTTGAGGTTTCTTTATAGACAGATTTGGCGGCGGGAGAGTGGTGGTGCTGCTGTTGGTTACTAACGGTCGCTGGAATGTTACACGTGGAGGAGCAGGATTGGAGAGACAAGAAGATAGCATGGTATGGTCTAGACGATAGAGTGTTCGTGGCTTATGGGTTCTGAAAGAGTGGGGTTACTGGGGTTTATATAGAAATGGGTTTTGAGTTTAACCAGGGTTAAGTTAAGATGAGGGATATCTGCTTATCTGGTTTTTTGTGTCTTTGGGTGAGTTTTGAAGTTAAGGGATGACTCAGCAAACAATGACTTATCCAATTTGGTTTTTTTTTTTTTTTTTTTTTTTTCCATTGAATGCGGAGGGACTATGCATGATGGGTCTATGTTTTTCTTTTGATTTGTTTCTGCCCAATTATTGTCTTTGCCAGATGCCAATTATCCATAAATTGATTTTTTGATAAATTTTTTATAAATATATAAAATTTAAATTTTAAAATCGTATAAAAAAATTAAATCTTATTATTTTAATCTCAAACATAATTAATAATATCTCTATCGTGCGATAAAGATATCTAAAGAAAAAAATGAATATCGGAGTATTAACGAAATGCAGTCTTTATGGTACAAATTTAATTTGAAATTTTAGAAACATGCTATTATTTTCTCTTTAATTATAATAAATAATTATTTAGATTTAATTTCTTATCTAGCCCTCAAAGTGGTGCATGATCCAGTCAGACTAAATATTGTCAAATATTGTTCCTTGGTGGTTTTGGACGCTTGTAAAACTTCCATTTTTTTCTTCTTCTTCTAAAAGATGCTACAAAGTAATCAACGTAAGCACATTTGTTTTTCTCTGCCTCCAATTTTTTATTGGGTGGAATATGATGCGGGTCAAGCGAAAATGGAACCAGAAATAGTTCTTAGAAGCATAATCCAGAAATCATGGAATTTTTCAAAGCAGGCATATAAGTTTGCAGAATTATAATATTATGACCGAAGAATTTATATTCTTTAATTTTTCCAATCTTGGATGTTTGAATGAAGAATTCCACCTCTCCATTAGTTACATTTTTCCTAATATTTCTTTCTTTCTTCCCAGTCAAAGTATCATATTACTATACTTCCTTAACCTCATTTTATGGGCGTTGTTTTTTATTTCCCTTTGATTCTTTAAAGCTTTTTTTATTTTTATTTTTTGAAATCTTTTTGAGGTAACAAAGAAAATCATCTTCCTCCGTTTTTCAAAAATTGTTAATATTTTATTCATTTTATAATTAAATGATTTTTTAGAGTTAATTCCTTTTTTTTTTATCTTCAAGGTATCTCAAGCTCAAAAGTTCAAATTAATCTCTTGTTGTTCTTTCTAATATACAAAGCATGCATAATTATTTAATGAATTTTCTACGTATAAAAAAACTCAAATTTAAAATCAACTATTTAAATTACTGAAATCTCTTCCGTTCAAAGCAACTCAACTTTCATACGATGGATTTAATTTCATTTTTTAATCTTAAGGCAGGCTATCCTCAAAACTAAACATCCATGAGAGTTTCATTTTTTATAAGTATTTTTTTTAGCTCATGCATTAAAAATTTCTAACAGAATTAATATGTTAAAATTTGAAATCGTGATATCTTATTGTAAAAAATCATTATCACCATACTACAAAGAGTCGAATTTCATTTTTTATAATCAGACTTAGAGCAATTCAATATCTTGCAGATTGCCAAACTGTCGAAGAACATATATACCCTTTTAATCATCAAACTGGCTACATCATCTTACACAAACTGCTAAAAATATGGCATTTGAGGTTTTTTCTCCATGAAAATAATATGGCGTAATAGTAGGGAGTCAACTTTACAAGTCTGCGTTGGAAATATACCCCATCCATAGTAGCTAGTTGTGACGAGTACCATAAATGATTCCGTGCTTGTGGTTTATCTTTGCCGAATAAAGCAGTGGTTCATCTTCCCTGTGGCTCATGTATATCTACTTCATTTGTGCAATAGAATAGCCGACAGATTTCAACTGGGAAAGCATTAATTTAAGGGCATTTCACAAGTTATATACTCATGATAACTGTGGTCCTATATATACATATATTGCATGGATTCTTTGCAATAATCAATGGTATATATCCTCAAAAGATGGAGAATACTTCAGAGATATTTCCATCTACTTCATTTTGCTCTTGCATAACTGGAATCTCTACACTTTTTCATCTACTCTATCATGGGGTCACATAGCCTGCGATAATGATATGCACTGATGTAAAGTACTCGAATTTTCTGCATTTCTGTGGGTGTTATCGTTCATGGACAGCATTGATCTGGCTGCGTAGCTGTGCACCATAGACGTTCAATAGAAAGCACCTTGATTTGCGTCCTCTTGAAGACAAAAAATCTCCTCATTTTTTACTTTGTAATCAATAAGACAAAACATCTCATCCAATACGAGTAAATTATAAATAAGTCCCTTTCGTTTTGATAAATGAATTAATTAGTCTTTTTGTTTTAAAACTAACTTATGCATTTGATTCATCGTGTCGCTGTTTGTTCTTTTTTCTTTTTTTGTGATTTGGTGTTGTGGGTTTTCGACTGGTTTCATCACAGATTGTTATTTTATTGTGTGTTAAATCATCCTTTTGCTGGTTTCTCACCGCTTAGCATCTTAATTTTTTCTGTAGCCATCTGTCTCTTCTTAGACTTTTTGATCGTTAGGGAATTGTTTAAGCGATCTTCAGACAAATAGAGTAGGTCCTAGGCTGTAATAGGATTTGCTTGTGGTTTGCTATTTACTTATGTGTTGGATCTATACGAGTCATTCTACTTTCGGATTCAAAATTCTAGCCATAAATTTCTTCTTCCCTGTTTCCTTTCATTCACATGTTTGAGATTCTTATTAATCTGTCGCTAATGTTATGGATTTTAGTTCAGCTTTAGAGGCATAAATCATCGCAAAGAATGAGTTGAGCCCTTGTAAGTTATATTGTTGACTCCTCTTAATGGGTTCGGACTTGGGCTAAAGAGTAAATTGGTATCTTAAAGTAAGAACAAGTACTGTAACCATAGTGATGGTACATGTGCCTATCCAAGTTTTGAGATGCTAAACTGGGATGAAGCCATTGAGTTAGGCATTCAAGCATATCATCATTGCATGGATGAAAATTTATTGAACGATCTACAAGGCCTTACTTGTTCAGGAAAAAATAAGTTTCAGAAATTTTTTTTTTTTAATATTTTTTTTGTATTGAGAAAAAATTAACAGAAAATGATAGAATATTTTTGAAAAAATATTTTCCAAGTTAAAAGAGAGAAAAATATTTTTTCTTTTCCTCACGAGCTATCTTGCTCTCGTGTTACTTATCTCTCTCGATATATTTTAACAATTTTTTTCTGTCTTCTTTTTATTTAAAATATATCAAATTAATTTTTAATTATTTCTTATCAATTATTATCAATTATTTAATTATTTTTTCTATTTCTACTAGCATTTGATTTTTTGATTTATAAATAAATTAAATGTTCTTAAAAACCATTTTTATACCTTAAAATTATTTTTATAATAAATATTTCAATAATTGATCTCTATTTTTTATACCATTATCACAAACACTACTTAAACTATACTTAAATGATTGAAAATGACTATTACAAGACTCGCAATCATTTGTGAAAAATTTTAAACTAATTAATTCATTAATAAATATATTATTTTTTCAATGCTATTTATTTGTAACTAATTTTAATCGGTTGTAAAATTTTATTAGTAATTATAGTCAACAATTATTTATAAATTATTCCAACATTAATCTTTTGAAACCAAATAAATAATTATTTACAAATGATAACTTATAACTTGTAAAAGTATTTTTTTAAAATTAAATTATCAGTTCAATTTCTTAAAAAAAAAATTCTTAATTAAGTTACTAAAATAACAATGTTATGATTACTTAGAAATTTTTTTACTAAATATGAATATTGACTTGATTTTGTGTCAAGTAGTTTTGATGAATTGATTTGATGGTTAAAAATATAAATTTTATTTTTTGATTTTTTGAATTTAAATCTTAGAGTCGGTATTTATAAGAATTTATTAAATTTTTCTAAATACATATTATATTGTGAAATTATGAATATGCCTTATTGAAATTTCCTCAAAAATTGTCAATGTAACAATCACGAGTCTATTTTTGTATTTTATTTTTCCGTATCAAATAAATATTGTAATATATTTTTCAGTAGTTTTTTTTATGAAATTGTCAAATGTCGGAAAATATTTTTCAAAAAATAACTTCTTAGAAAATAGCTTCTTCAAAATTGATTTTTATATTGAAAGTTGTTTTTTGCCAAACAAACGGAGCTATGGACTATGGAGCTCTTCGTTAAGCCCAAATAGTCTAAATTAATCTATATAAAAGATAATAAATATTTATTTAAGTAATACTAAAACACAAAATCATACCTCACAATTAGGCGTCAAAATTTAAAGTACAAGTCTATTAATTCACATTTGAAATATGTAATTATAAAAAAATCATTGATTGTTTAAACATATCCGTATAAAAATTGATTTTATTACTTGATCGAAACCAAATAACTAAAATTAATTCAATTTTAGTTTTTTAAATCGAATTTAATTAAAAATTTCACCAAATTTCAAGTTTAAATGTTGAAAGAAGAAACATGCGAAACAAGATAAACACCAATGCCTGCATGCAAGTTCATGGTATCTTTTTCTTATCATCTAAATGCAAGTTCATGATCGTTCAACTTATTTGCTAAATATATAGTAGAAGTTAACTTTCGATGAGGGTAAACTATGTATATTGTTGCCACACAGATTCATCAATATTTCACTTCTATCCTTGTAATTATAAATTTCCAACAGTACTCTGTAGATTAAAAAAAAAATCGATTTTGTTTTTTATTAATACTTCCTTTGTCCCAAAAATCTCTCTCTCTCTCTCTCTCTCTCTCTCTCTCTCTCTCTCTCTCTCTCTCTCTCTCTCTATATATATATATATATATATATATATATATATATATCTAAAATACTCTTAATTGACAAAGAAAATTAATTCTTTCTTTCATTCTTTTGTTCTTCACTAACAAAAAA